GATATATTGATCACTCCAGCTACTAAAGACAGATCTGTCTCTGTCAGAAAGAGATGCATAAATGAGAACACCAGTGAGCAGTTTATGAAGGCCATATCGCTAGCACCAAGTATATCTGCAGACTCTGTTGATTCTCTCCTTGATTTGTTTAATTCTAAAGTTAAGAATGTCATTGATGACATTGCTCCTGTTAAAGTCAGAAAGATGACTGGGATGACAAAAAAGGACCTTGGAGAAAATCAACAGCAGTTCAAAAGATGAAAAGACAGTGCAGAAAAGCTGAGCGCATGTGGAGGAAGACGAAACTTCCCAAAAAGTCAGACAGTTGCAGCTCATCCAGAACACTGTGGGCAGGATTCTGCCCAGAACCAGAAAATCAGAGCACATCACACCGATCCTCAGGTCTTTACACTGGCTTCCAGTTACATTCAGAATAGATTTTAAAGTATTATTACTGGTCTATAAATCACTAAATGGTCTAGGACCTCAATACATTACAGATATGCTGACTGAATACAAACCCAACAGATCACTCAGATCTTTCGGATCATATAAACTAGAAATTCCAAGAGTTCAGTCAAAGCAGGGTAAATCAGCCTTCAGCTACTAACAGCGCCCCCCGCTGCTGGAATCAGCTTCCAGAAATGATCAGATGTGCTCCAACATTAGGCAAATTCACATCAAGACTGAAAACACATCTGTTTAGCTGTGCCTTTACTTAATAAGCACTGTGCTGCGTCCGACAGAGACACACTATTATGTTTTTTTTTTGTTTTGTTTTTTCTATTTTATAACCCATTTTATCTGGTTTTAATCATTTTTATTATTTGTTTTTATTTTCTAATACTTACCTCTTTTATTGATGTTTATGTAAAGCACTTCGAATTGCCACTGTGTATGAAATGTACTACATAAACTGGCCTTGCCTAAAAAAAATGACTTAATGTCAAAAAGTCCACAATAATTTCAGACTTCCTCGTCTGATGTGCAGAGACCAGCTTGTCTAAGTGTAGCCTTTAGGAGGCTGATCTCAAGTCTGGCCTTGGTTTGCTGCAGTTTGGTCATGTGCAATTAGAAAAAAACACTAGCAAATTAAGCAAAGACCTTCATCAGTTTGACTGCACACGTGCTGCAAAATATCACAAAGCAAACACATTTTTAAAAAGTGCACTGCATGTTCACACAATGCAAACAATTAGTAAAATGTGCTGCATCAGGATTTATATTTATTTGTAATAAATTTAAAAAAATTAAAAAAAACACCAGAAGCAGAAATACCAACTACCAATACTCTTCTTGCTGTAAGACGACAGTGGTAAACACTGAGCCACCATGCTGCCCCTTTTCCTGCAGTTGCCTGAAGTAAAATAGATTGCAGTTTGTTGGCAAAAGCCGCTAAACGCCACTTGCCTTTGACAGCAAAAGCCACTAAATCCCGAGAACCAATCAGAATACACAATTGTTTTTTTTATTTTTTTATTTTTTATAAAAAGTATGGTATGGAGCAATATGTTGCTTTTTTGACACATTTAAAATTTGTGGGTAAGAAAGAATAATTTATTTATGTTTGGTATGGTCAGAAATAAACTTAACTAATTGCAATAGGACACTATGAAACCAAGACCCATTTGCTCATGCTCATTGAGCAAGCTCATTCATGATGCACTTTAATAATTCTAATTCTTTGTTTTAGGCATGATGATAGGTCACCTTGGATCATTCGTTATTAACAGCAGATTCAGTGATCTAATCTTTTTTAAATGAATGTTTATTTATAAAAACAAAAGCTTGTCTTTAGACAACATTTTCTTCATTTTTAAATACACAAAGTAAATATAAGAAATTTCAGCTTTTACGGATTCAGGAAAAAGATAATAAAAACGGCGCCACTTCAGCCTAAAAGCAGCCATGTTCTGTTTACTTGGCCTTTTTCTTAGTACTGTGCAAAAACAGAATAGCATCTCATGTGCCTGGATTTGGGCGATTCTGCCTCGCTTCCAAAACAGCCAGTTGCACTTACTGATAGTTCACTCACACCTCTTGTTGCAGAAATGCACAAAATTCTCCTTGCAAGGTGCTGCAGTCGTGTAGATAATCTTGTTTCACCCAGAACAATAGAGCAGATTTTCCTCTGAAGACTCCTCTAACTGAAAGTTTGAACAGTACTCTTCACTTCATCCATTATTTTGTGCGTCTCATCTTCACATTCTGCGAGGTCCACTCTCTGCTTTTTTGCTGATCCACTTGCATGTCCCGCTACATCCACCCGCAATTTATCATTATGTATTTTTTTATTACCTGACCCGCGAATTTTCTGCAGAACCTGCAGATATAACTGCCATCCACGCATAACAAAACCATGCACACTCAATCACACACATACACTACAGACACTTTAGCTTATCCAATTCACCTGTACTGTATGTCTTTGGATTTGTGGGGGAAACCGGAGCCACCGGGAGGAAACCCATGGCAACAGGGGAGAACATGCAAACTCCACACAAAAATGCCAACTGACCCAGCTGAGGCTCCAAACTTTTTGCTGTGAGGCGATCATGCAACCCACTGTGCCACCATGATTCTCTTGTTAATTCGGTAGATTACTTTTTTACAGTTAGAGTTACTCAAGTTTTTTATCATAAATACTTTTGGTATATTTTTTCTTCCATAGAACTGAAACTTCACATACACACTTTGTGGGATGTCAGTGAATTATTATAAATCTTGTAAAAAGGGGCATGACGTCCATTTAAACATCACACAAGCACTGAGAGTGACTTTCCTTCTTTGAAATATGATTTCTTTTTCCTGTTTTGCAAGGACCACATTTTTATGAACTATGATCATGTCATTTGTATCTAAGTAAAAGTAAAGTCTCATCCAGTCAATCCACTGGTTTGTTTATTACTTGTTTCACTATGAGTTTTGGTAACTTGTTGGAAAATAAAATTAAAGTATAATCACGGATTTGATGTGGTTGGGTTGAAGGGAGTACATGCATACATAACATATATAAAATAAGACTTCCACCCATTGACAGGTCTTTCCCAACCCTATCTGGAGGGAGGGACACTACCCCAACAGTGAGTGGTGGAAAGAGTTCTGAAAAAGCATACTTGAGTAAAAGTACCATTACTTGGCAAAAAATGTAGTGTGAGTAAAAGTACCTGTTGTAAATTTTACTCCAAGTAGGAGTAAAAAGTAGCCCTTTTAAAATTACTCATGAGTAGTAAGTAGTGAGTATTATGCTGTTAAAAGTTAATGCATTTACATGTAGTTTGTGGATGTGTGTGTGTAAACGTAACATTCTGTAGTGCATTTAGTTATTGCCCAGCAGGCACACAATGTCATAAGACGTTAATATTAGGTTAGATTTAGGTTGTAATGTCAGGTGACCAAAATTCAATGTCTAGCCAGCGTCTAAGGATGACATTGTTTTAATGTCCAATAATGACATCAAATGATATTTGGTTGATTTTAGGTTGTTAGAAAGTGACCAAAATCCAACACCTTAAACGAACGTCATATTGACGTTTTTTTTTTTTTTTTTTTTTTATCAGTTATGGCAACCAAAATTCAACGACTGATAGATGCCATAGTGGTAACGTTGACACAACGTCAAGCTGTAATATTATTAGAAGTTGATTTATTATTTTTTTTTTAGGTTGGATGTTGGACAGACATTGGGCTGACGTTGAGTTCTGATGTAAACCCAATTTTCATTTCCACACAAAATGCAGCGTCTCCACAACATTAGGGTTCAATTTTAATCTGACGGCATGTTTACGTCTTGTGCCTGCTGGGTGTTTAAGGGAATTTTGGTCATCATACAGTAAATATCCATCATCTTCTCATCAGTGACACGCATTTAAACCAGGGGTGCCCATACTCAATCCTGGAGGCCCGGTGTCCTGCAAAGGTTTGTTCCAAACCCAATTAGACACACCTGCGATGGTTAATCACTCTCATATTCTAGAAACATCCATGCAGGACGTGTTGAGGCAAGTTGGAGCAGAAATCTGCAGGACATCGGCTCTCCAGGACTGTGGCTGTTTCTCAAAATGCGTTCTTCATCAATTTTGCGTCCTTGTGTTCTCGTGTAACATCATCATCAACTGCTGAAGTTCTGTTCTAATACTCAAGACAGCAAGAACAGAGGATGCGTGAAACTTCCCGGATGTGATCTTGATATCGAGGACGCAACGATGCAGACTTGAGCACCAAGCTCGCTCTGGAAGTCCCAGAAGTCACTGCGACTGGAAATGGGAAGCACAGCATTTTATCAGATATTAGAGATATCACTTATTTACCTCAGGAGTTTCCCTAAATGAAACAGTGAAGGTAAACATAACCATGGACATCTTAATAAAGGAATAAACACATTGAGGATGTTTGTTTGCGGAAATTCGTATTAAAATCTGTTTTATTCATATTGTGCAGAGTATATTTATAATGTTTTTATGCAAAATATATATTTTGAAAAGGGGGGAAACAATAAAAGTTTGTATGAAGGCTGCACAGTTGAAATAATTGATTTGATTGGACAGGAATTACAGGACTGATTTTTCTAATTCCCATAAACAAGAAAGAATAAAGTAGTAACTGGAGGTTGAAGAAAGGTAGTGGGGTAAAAGTACAGATACTGCACTAAAAATGTACAAGGAAAAGTAAAAGTACACATTTTTAAATCTACTCAGTAAATTACAATATCTGAGAAAAACTACTCAATTACAGTAACTTGAGTATTTATAATTAGTTACTTTACACCACTGCCAACAGTACATATATTAGACATATAACTCAATCATTTCAGGTTTTAGAGTCTTTTCTAATGATCTTGTTTAAGTGTGTTTGATTAGGAAGCGTATACAATGTGTAGTGTTTGTGTGATTCTAAAAACAGAGTTGGGAAACAGTGTTATAAAACATCATCATTATGATACATCACAGACCAACAGATTAGTGGCTTGCCTAATAAATGAATCCTTAAATGCTTGACAATATGATTAAAAGAAAGCATGTATTTTCACTCATTTAAATCAGCCCCTGTACCATTTTCTTATCCTAAACATTGTTCTTTGTTCTTATTGGTTCATCTGATCTGCATTTTTAAATTCGTCAGCCAGGAGGAGTTTAGCCAGTCCAGCTTTTAGGTAATTCAGAGTATCTCTATTGGCTTCTTCAGCTGCTGGCCATCTCCTCATTTCCTCGAGCTCTCGAGCCCAGTCTTCTTTCCCAGCCTCCCTCAATCTGGGGATGAAGAAGTCCAGATGCTGGAGGGTCAAGGCAGGGTCTGGTTTTAATGAGATTTGAAACCAATTCTTGATGGTTTTGTAAGCTTTGAACACCATTATTAACATATGATCTTCAATCTCCTTCAGCTCTTTGTCAAGAGCATCCATTACAACTGAAAACCTCTTATTCTGAGGGATTTCATGATCCTTTAATAATTCATCAAACTTCATCACCATGTCTGAGGTTCTGAAGACGTATTTCTCGTTCTCTTTAAGGTGTTTACTGTAGTGACACTTCCCTGTGCATACAGTGCAGTAGTCGTTTCTCATGACTTCACACTTCTTGGGACCAGAAACCCACCAGCAGTCAACGTCATGACAGTTTTCTTCACAGACGGTGCAGGTCGTCACCTTTCTGTTCTTCCATGATGCATTTACTATGGGAACCTTTTCTTTGACAGTAATTTTGAGTTTAAAGCTAAAGTTTGTGCTTCTTTCAATCTCATCCTTGTTTTGCCTGATTGCCTCCTGAATCTGAATTTTTTCAGACTTCTTCGACTCTTTTTCTTGAATTCTCAGTTGTAAGTTGCTGATGGAAGCTTCTAGCTGAATGCGTTGAATCAAGACATCTGAAGTCAGCTCTAAACTGCGTCTGTTCTTTTTATCTAGAGATTGAAGGAACTGCTTTGTCTCTTCCATACAGTCTTCCCAGGCGTCTCTTTGAGCACAAGTGTAGCGTTTCTCATTGTGACGAGCTTCAGCTTGACGATTGTTGAATATGAAATGAACAGGTTCACCACTTCTGTCTCGTCTGCAGGGAATTTTAGCTTTATTAATGGCACTGAGGACATTTTTAGGAGGAAGACCATCAGAGTGTGTGATTAAAAACACAATGTTGTTCACAATGTCTTTCCCAAACAGAGACAGAATTGAGCTGATAATGTAGTGTTGTCTGTCTGAGAGACGATTCTTAGATGCTTGAATCACAAAACACACAGCATCAACTTCTCGAACTCCATCACTGCTCTGGAACAGAGCAGATAAATTCTCTGCAAATTCCAGATCTTTCTCCAGTCCTCTAGTGCCTCTGTAACCAGGAGTATCAATGATGGTGAGAGAAATGGCACTGTCCTCTGGAAAGACCTCATACATGGTGATTTCAGAGGTTTGGGATTCTGTTTGATCTCCTCCTTCTTCTTCTGTGATTTCATTCCATGTTTCATCCTCAAACTTCACTCCCAGTATGTAGTTCACTAAAGAGTTGATGAGGGTGGTCTTTCCAGCACCGGTCTCTCCCACCAGCAGAATAATTTTGTTTTGTTTACTGGTGTTTTTTGTACCATACCTCCATATTCTGACTTTACCATTATCATCAAGTATTTTCCTCTCTGTATGTAGACGGTATCGTCTTGGAGGACCTTGATGAATTAAGGTTGCTCTGCATGGTGAATATATTAAAACAATATTTTAGAGAGATAGTAGAGTAGTAGAACATGAAAGTTTAACATTGTTTTAGATAACCAAGACGTTTCAACAAACAAAAAAATAAACAAAACCCCTTTATTTTGTCTCTGAAAAGTAGAGAGAGACATAGGTGCTAGTAGTATACTTTGATTTCACTCGGCTGTTATTTTACAGCAAAATCAGAGACTGCGGTGGGAAGTAGTATCGCCTGAGTCACACAGGAATGTTGTGTACCTGGCTGTATATCTTATCAGCGTAGGGAAAGTTTCACAAATGTATACTTCCACTGCCCTCCGTGTGACCCAAAGGTCCGTATTTAGCTCAGGTTAAAGGAAATGCCACTAGTTAGCTAATGTTTTCCTTCCCAAACACACATTTTGGATGGCATTTATCAAACTCAAGTTAATGAACTGATGCTTTCACTATATGAGACTTGTCACAATACAAAATTTTAGAACTAAAAAAAAAAAAAAAAAAATTCCCGTTAACATTTAAGCACTGTTGATGATGTTTTTAAACAGCGCTCATTATCTAAACTCATTCATCTGTGACAAAGTTTATATGATCATTAGTTGCCTGCGCTCTCGTTTTTTTCATGGTAGGCATTAAATGCAGCTGGTTTTGACTGAAGAGAATGGCTCATGTTATTGCCTAAAATCTAATTTATACGCATATAGCTAATTCCAATGTTTCAATCAGGATTTTGATTTAATTTGATTAATCGTTCAGCCCTCTTAGAGAGAATACAAGTCTGAACTCACCTGGAACTCATGGTAGCCTGAATGACCTTAGCAGAAGAACTTTGTTCTCTCTCCAGTCTGCAAAACAACTCATTACCTTAAATAACAAACACTGAGAAGTTGCATTTCGCTACTAAATAACAATGATTTTTCTTACACACCAGCTTTTGCTCTGACAAGTGTCTGGTTGAACAACAAAATCCTTCAACTGAATTACTGATTTAACAAGCCTAACTGGTTGAAGTCCCTCCCAGCCCTGCCACTCCCAAAAAACACACAGTCAGGATTTACTAACAACATGAAGTAAAACCACAACATCGATGGTAGGAAAGTTTACTAAACTTTGTGAAGATCAATTCACTGCTCCTTACAACAATATTGTTTATGTTCTAAAACAGTTTGAGTTTTTTCTTCTTCTTCCTGTTAAACACAAAGATGAAGATCTAGCCTTCTGATGAATGCTGGAAACTCGTAATCATTAATATACTAAGAGCTATTCAGAAGATACGCCTGCGGATATGTCAGGCTCAATTACTACAAAATCTCCATCCAGCTGTACATTAAGCTCTCCTTACATAACAATGATCATTGCTCATCAATACGGACTAATAGTTGATTCATATTTTGAACTCATTTCACAATCTCTTCATGTATGTTTTTAAAGGATTTTGTGTGAAGAGACTTTCAATGATGAAATAAGTAGGGATGCACCGATATGGAAATTTTGGTCGATACCGATAACCGACAACTCTTTATATTAAAAAGGCTGATAGCAGATATTTATAGGCCGATAAATAAAATAATTTTCTCCTTTTTTTTTTTTTTTTTGCATGACTGCAAAAACAATAGTAAAACACAAACTGATTTTTTTTATTTTAAAACCTTAACTTCAGAAAACTTTGTAGATCCATATTACAGATCTTAAATAACTCCTTACATCTTACATAACTCAAAGTAAAAACAAAAAAACAAACCGTCACATTTTGAACAAATACCTGATATTAGGCTTCTTTAAGAGAACTGAAGCATGTGAAAATAAAAACTTAAAAGAATTAATGAGAAAGGTATAAAACAATATCCAAATTATCAAGATTTTCAAATATAGGAAAGTGGAAGCCATCCAGACACAATCGCTCAAAGTCCTCAATATAAACAAGAAACGGAAGGGTTGATTAATTTAATAAATAAAAAAAACTACAAAGTTCAGTATCTACAAACTCTGTATAAGTTTACAAGAAGAGCAGCAGAAGAGTTCCTTCTAACAGTTACATGTAAAAGGGGCAATGGCACATCAGAATTTTTTTGTAAAACAATAAGATATCTGGGGTATGAATAATATACCCTAATGTATGAAGACTTGCGTTGAAATCATACTGAAACATTGCGTACACACCAAGCTGTAAACTTGCGTACGCAGTAATAAAAATCAGATGTATAAAAACATTGCGTATGCCAAATCACACGCATATTCTCTTTGTACATCTGAATGAACGTGAAATGCACAAAAATGCACAAAACCCCTCCCTGCCTCCTCCCCCGTATGAATATGCTAATGACTCTACTTTGGCAAAATCCAATGAAAAAGCAATGGCAAAAGCAAGCAAAAAGAGAAACTTTGAACAGAATGTGAGTTGGAGGTGCTCCTTTCTAAGGTAGACCAGAGAAAAACTGTGTTATTTGCAAGTTTGTCCTCCGGAATTAATAACAAAAGAAAAAAAATAGAGTGGGAGAGTTTAGCTCAGGGGTGCTCAATCCTGTTCCTGGACAGCTACGTTCCTGCAGATTTCAGTTGCTACCCAAATCAAACTCACCTGAACCAATTAATTAGGACCTGAACACCACATGATAAATACAGGCAGGTGTGTTTGATATGGGTAGCAATGAAATCTGCAGGAAGGTGGCTCTCCAGGAACAGGGTTGAGCACCCCTGGTTTAGCTGATGCGGTTAAAAGTTGGGTCTGAACATCGCACTGAGTGGATTAAAAAATAAATAGTGAAATGTAAGATGCAAAATTTCGTAGTGTCCTTAACAGTCTTAGTGGCGCAGCTCGTAAGACGCATGGCAACATGTTTTGACACATTTGAGCATGAAATCGGTTCGAATCCAACGTCCGATGAACTCATTCTTTCCCCCCCCCCCCCCCCCCCCCCCTACATATCAGATTTTGCCTACTATTTATCATGAGAAAGACAAGTAGGAATCATTAATAAGTCTGTGCATCATATTTTATTTGCTCATTTATTGAATGGAAATGTTTCTGATTCACGTATGCAAATTTGTTTTCAGATAGCGCCTTTATATCAATGTGTGTGCAGTCGATCGCTCTGATTACATTGGGCAAACCGGCGACCGATGCGAATTGCACTTTAATGTTTGGCTGGTCAACTGCATGTCTGGTATGGAAACCTTGTATACCTGCTAGACATGCGGATGAACCTGTCCCATACAGCTGCCATCACATGGCTCAAAGACACTTTGTAGAGTGCAATTTAACACAATTTAAGCAGCGCCTGTGTGAGACCCGGGAAATTCTCACACGTGCAGTATAGCCCTCTTCATCTCAAAGTTTTTCTCAATCCACTGAGCTGTAAGACTTAACCTACTCACTGGACTTACATCTGAGCTCCATATGTTGGTTGTAATACTAAGTCACATTTTTTTGTCAAAAACATGTGAACGTGAGCTGTCACTTCATTGTACAAAGCCGAGAGAGAAACATCAGCGAAGTGCCGCCGGCTAGGGAGGGAGTTGCAATAAATTCAATAAGACAACAAAATCCAAAATCTTCCACAAGGCTGAAAGGTTGGTCATCAATTGTAATCATTTCTATGACTCTGCCTGTGATAGCTTTTGCACTGTCCTTGCCAAATTTCTTTATATTGTCAAGTGTTTGTTGCACTGGTTTCTCTGTTGTGGTTACCCCCAGTGCTTTTTTGGCAGTGAGTTTAGCCTGATAGTCTTTATATGTTTCGGGATGACGACACTTCAGATGGCTTATCACATGTGTAGAGTTGAATTTTGCTGTATAATATTGCTGACATGTTGTCTTCTTTCTAGTGTACTGTGAAGCGCACGGCTGATTTGTGCTACGTCACAGAGGCAACACTCAAAACCCAGTGGCAGCAGCAAGCGTGTTTAGCCTATGTAAAGAATACGCATTTTATCGGCGTAAAAATATCAACAATTTTAATATCGGACCGATAACATTAAAAACATTACTTAAATTGGCCTATAACAATATGGCCACCGATATATCATGCATCTCTAAAAAGAAATCACATTTGAGATCATATTGTAGCGGGCTTCGTCTCTCAAAACAAAGACAATTAATAAAACATTTTATTAATGTCTTTTAAAGGTAAAAGTAAACTCTGCCTCTTTAAAATCATCGTAGTGCGGGTGCTCGTGACTTGCACCAGTTTGCTGCATAGTCATATTCTAAAGCGGAAGATGTCAGACTCACTCGACTGAAGCGAGTGGCTGTTTTAGGAAATAGAAATATTCCCATTACTTCACGTTTCTGAAACAAGCAGACAAGAACATTACAGTAATATGTAAGCTATGTCGGCCACTGTAAACAGCACGAGCATAAGTAATCTACTGTAACCGAGTGTTTGTACAGGGGCCGCCTAAACACTGAAACATACAAAACAACAAACGGAGGCGACTGAACTCTTCCAAACTCTCATTTATTCTGAACAGTTTACTCTCACACTTTGCAGTACCTGTAGTTCTTGTGCGCATGCTCAAAAAAAACTGAGCTATAGCAAACCCCTAGGGGAAAAACACATTGCACACACTTACCTACTAAACATCAGAAATCAAATAAAGTCTGTTACACGACTAAAGCACCTGACATGGCAGCATAGACGAACACTTCTGAGGGATCCTTGTTCATCATCGACGAATAACACAGCGGAAACTCCAGCTAAGCAGGCTAAATTTGATTTCACTTCGCCAGTGCAGAAAGTGAACTTAGAAAAATGATCAGCATTTTTAAAATGAATCAGAATCTTCAAAATGATTGCAGGCTAAGTTGTGAAAGAGATGCTGCCGCTGCATACTGTAGAATCTCCGTCTTTTAGGTGTTTATTAAACAAAAGAACCGTGTCTGGCAAAAAAAAAGCAGCACTGCCTGATCGAAAAACACTTTTGACTAAGATTAGTGTTATTCTGACATGGAAATTGAGCTTAAAGGGACATTCGAGAGTTTGGAATATATTTCCACGACTGATTGATCCTTCTACTTTTGTACGAGGAGATGCAGCACTAGTAGGGTTGGGCGATGTCGACCAATTTGGCATCGTACGGTGTCTAATATGAAACATCACGATGGACGATGGCATCATCATCATAGGTGGCAGTGAATTAATTATAAATAATTCATTCATTCATACAAATTAATTATTTTTAGCCTACCGTTTTAACTACCTGACCAACATACTCTTGTTTTTACCAATAAACAAGTCATAAGTGAATAAAGAGAAGTTACAAACATAATTACCACCTGTTAATTACAGTGAACAGTAGGCAACCAGACTACGACGTATTAAGCCTGGTTTATACTTCTGCGTCAAGTGACCAGCGTAACTCACGGCGCAGACAATACCACGTGGCTGTGCATTTATACTTCTGCTGCTGTCTCTGTCGGTCTGCATTAACACTTCCGAAACACTAGTTGGCAGTGATGTGTAAATGTTCCTCTGTGTCGAGTTTCTTCGCTTCTGTTTTGCGTTTCCTGAACACTTCCTGGTTGTACAAGTGACTCAAACTCGCTCATTTTGAGGCAGGAACCGGCGGACATGCAACAACTTTAACTATGAGGTAAACACAAAACAAAACTTTCCATCCGGAGCTCCTTCACGGGACTCCACACTTGTAAACACTCGCTCCATCAGGCTCGCGCCATTCGAGCGGCTCTCGGTCCCGCCCAGACTCGTCAGTGCTACCAAGCCGACCAATCACAGAGCTTGCGTTACGCGTCGTTGCAACATGTATTTACAATTTTTGAAAGGGTGAACGTCAGCCACGCCGACGGCCACGGCGAAGGGCTATGCGTCAGCGCCGTAGCATACGCTGGCGTTTGACGCAGAAGTATAAATCAGCCTTTAGTTAACGTTACATTCTCGGGCTAATTTCAGACTGTCGAGAAACATTATTTGTATATGACATCATTTATTTCTCCAACATTTGCAAATGCACCTGCACTGTTTCTACTTCT